TGGAAATATCATCATACATGAGAAAAGGGTTAAAGTTGTCAACAATTTCACCTTACTTGGATCCACAGTCAACACTCTTCGTACCAGCAGTCAGGAGATCAGGAGACATAATGCATTGGACAAGTCTGGTGTCAGGGACCTCTCCAAAATATTGAAGAGCAGATGTCAGTTTGAAGACTAATGTGTGCTTGATCCAAGCCCTGATATCTTCAGCGTAAATACTTGGGTTTGCCTGATGCAAATCTCTCCAATTGCTTTTTTTAAAAAATTTTATTTTATAATATTGTGTGTGTGTGTGTGTGTGCTGTCAAATTGGATCTGACTGGTACAGGAGGAGATTACCCCTCTTTCTCCAGCAAAGCGTCTGGTGGATTCGAATCGCATACCTCTGGGATTGCATCCAGTGGGTTTTTAGAAACAGTAAATTGCACAGGAGGAGATTGCCCATCCTTCTCTCATGGAGCAGCTGGTGGATTTGAACCTTGTGCCTTTGGGGGTACAGCACAGCTTCTTAACACTAGGCCACCAGAGCTCCCTACTTCACTCCCTACTCCACTGTCGTTGCATGCTGTCGAGTTGACTTTGACTCATAATGACCCTGTGAACAGCAGCTCCAGACCCTGTGCTATCCCGGGCCAACCTCACCAGGTCTGACACCCCTGACCCCTTTGCCACAGTCACTGTGTTAGAAGAGTGAATTGTTTTTCCATACAACTTCTCGTAAGTCGCACTGCTGGTTCATACTGGCCGTCCCCCCCTGATTTCCTGTGGGCTTTATGAATGGGGTCCCCTTCTTTCTGCAAGGGCAAGCAGCTGTTCAAGAGAAGGCTATTAATAAATGGGGACACATTCTGCAAGAGGGCAGTTATGAGATTGTAGTTAGTTCCCTTCTGGTTGGTCCTGACTGAGGTCCCCTCACGTCCAACAGAAAGAGTCATTGCTTGGCTCGGCACCGTCTTCACAAGCCTTGGTTAAGGCAGAGTTCACTGTTGCAGCTACTGTTTCTGTCCGTCTCATGGAGGATCTCCCTTACTTTCACACTTAACCAACTGCCTTAGTTATCTAGTGCTGCCGCCACAGATGAATGCTTTTAACAAGCAGAACTTACACGTTAGAAGGCTAGAAGTCCAAATTAAGGGCTGTAGCTCTAAGTGGAGGCCCACTCGCTCTCTCTCGGTGTAGAGGAAGCTCCTTGTCCCCAGATGTCAGCATCTGTAGACCAGGCGTCTTGGAGGTCTCCATGTGTCCATTGTCAAGGAGCGTCCTCAACTGGGACTGGGTCCAAAAGGATGTGCTGCACTCCTGGTGGTCATTCTTTGGTGGCAGTGCGGTCTCCTCTTCTCAGCTCACTCTCCTTCCCCTTAACCTCTGGTTTCTATGTGCTGTCAAGTCAGAACCATTGCAGAGCTGACCCTCCAGTGGTTTTGCAGAGGCTCAGATTCATATGGGAGGAGACTGTTCCCATGGAGCAGCTGGTGGATTCGAACTGTCTGCTCTAATGTTGGTAGTGCAACTTCGTACCAGAGCTAAATCACTCAAGCCCCCGGAGTGATGTACATACAGCCTTTGAAAACCTGCTGGAGAGTCAGCTAGGAGGCAGTTCTCACTCAATGGTACAAAACAGCCATTTAATCTCTAGTGAGACTAGAGGTAGTTACTCTGCTCTCAAAGGAGCTCTGGTGACCTAGTGGCAAGGAGCTTCACTGCCAACCAAAAGGTGAATGGTTCAAGTCCATCAGCGGCGCTGTGGGAGAGAGATGGGCAATCTCTCGAGTGATGTACAGACTCTGAATATCCAGCTATGAGTCTGTCGATGATACAAACCCCTCATGGGAATGTTTACTTAGGTTCCATATTAGAAATCAATCCTTACACACGTGTGTTTCAGGGACATATAATTCAGTGACATCAACGACACCAACTATGATGTCCTTTTTTAGCAGTTAATCTCTCTCCTGCTGACATGACCACAGCAGGGGAATTGAAGTCCCCTAGGACACATGCTCTTTTATCACCCTGTCCTTCCACCATCTGTCTCCCCACTGTTTCTAACAAGGCTGTGACTGATGCACATGTAAACAGAGGCTTGGGCTGAAGCATCCAGGAATTAATGGTTTCTTCCCCCTCCGGAACTTGCAGGTTGATGCCTTTACCCACCTCTACACTCTGGTTTTAAGACCAGATCTGACTTACGAAGTGAAAGTTGATGGTCAGTCAATCGAATCAGGCAGCATCGAGTATGACTGGAATCTAACATCCCTGAGGAAAATGGAAAAATCTTCAGCTGAGTCCAAGGACTGGGATCAGGCTACAGACAGAAAAAGTCAGGTTTGGAATTTTCCTGAACATCTATAAACCAGGCCACTTGCTGTCGAGTTAACCCCAGCTCAGGGTGACCCCATGTCAGTCAGGGGAGAACTGTCCTCCCTACATCTCTAGTGGCTGATTGTTTTCTTTAGAAAGTGGATGACCAGGCCTTTCTTTCTAAGTGCCTCTGGGTGAACTTGAACTTCTGTCCTTTTGTTTAGTAGCCCAACACACTAGCTATTTGTACCACTTTTTGTTGTTTGTTGTTATGTGCCATTGAGTCATTGGTGACTCATAGAGACCCTATGTACAATAGTCCTAAACCCTGCTCTGTCCTGTGCCAATCGCACTGTCTCTGACACACCCACCCCAATTACCCCAGTCACTGAATCAATCCACCTTATAGAAGGTCTTCCCCTTCTGCTCTGTCCCTCCACCCTCCCAAGCATGACGTCCCTCTCCAAGGACTGGTCCCTTCTTGCAACATGTCCAAAGTATGTCAGACGAAGCTTTAGAATCCTTGCCTCCAAGGAGCCGCATGGTTTAACCCTCTCCAGGGTGAATCTGTTTCTTTTCCTAGCAGTCCATGGTACCCTCAATACTCTTCTCCAGCACCACAGCTCAAAGGCATCAATTCTCCTTCTATACTCCTTAGTCATTGTCCAACTCTCTGATAGATAACAAGTGATTGCAAAGACCAATTATACCACTTAGGTATGTTTAAGTAACTGTGGAAAGTATAAAGATATACTTTAAGACTACCTGGCTACAATTGCTACATGCGTGGTAATTGTGATGGTAACATTTTAATAGTCAAATGTCATCCTATCAAGTAAATGCCACTGTTACCAATCATAAACATGCACATTTTGAGGTATCATAGAAGAGTTTTGTAATATGTGTTGTGAAAACAAGTGGTTGTTAGGTACTACTGAGTCAAATACAACCCATAATGACCCTATGAACAACAGATCTGAACCCTGTCTTATCCTGACATCCTCACAGTCTCTGACACACTTGAGGACATTGCTCCAGTCACTGTGCCAATCTACCTGGTTGAGAGTCTCCTTCTTTTTCGCTCTCCTTCCACCTTCCCAAGAATAATGTCCCTCTTCAAGGAATATACTCTCCTAGCAATATGCCCATGGCAATGAAACAAAACTTTATCATCTTTGCCTCCAAGGAGCCTTTTGGCTGCACCTTCTCCAAGACATATCTGTTTCTTCTTCTGGAAGTCCATGGGATATTCAGTACTCTTCTCAAACACCACAGCTCAAAGCCATCAATTCTTCTTCTGTCATCCTTATTCATTGTCCATCCTATTTTCACAACAGTGGCCTGATGACAGCACCCTTTTTAAAAAGAATTTCTTTCTTTTTTTATTAAACTGCATTTGAAAATGAAGTATCTCCTGAAAGCCATACTTGTCATAACTGGCAGCCAAGAACTAGTTAACATAACAGCACCATATTCTTTTTTGAGGCCTGTCATAATAAACCAGCACAATCAGGGTGACCTAACACAATAGAAATGCATTCTCTCCCAGTCCTGGAGGCCAGAAGTCCAGTCAGCAGGGCGGCACTTCCTGCAGAGACTTTGGGAGAGGACACTTCCTTGTCTCTTCCTGTTTCTAATGGCTCCAGATGTTCCTCAGCTTGTGGTTGCATCACTTCACTCTCTCCTCCGTCCTTACATGGTGGCCCGCGTCTTCTTTTCTGTCTCTTAGGAGGACATTTGTCATTGAGTTGAAAGCTCACATGGATAATCCGGAATGATCCCACCTTGAGTTCTGTCTTAGTGATCTAGCACTGCTGTAGCTGAAAGACCACAAGTGGGTTGTTTTAACAAAGAGGACTTGATCATTGTGGAGTACAGGATGGTAGCGGTCTGCATCCCGGGCACCTGCTCTAGCGGAGGAAAAGCACGCTCTCTGCGTTTTCTCTGGGGGGAAGATTGTTTCCCCCTCTAGCCCTGTGTCCCCCAGTTCCCTTGTGATCTTTACATGCTGTCTGTCTTCCTCCTTGTTTGTACTCCCTTGTCTGTGTGTCTGGCCTGCTCTTGTTCATGTCACAAAAGAAACCCGCTTCAGACACACCCTGTACCAGTATAGCCTTATTAAGGAAGAAAACCCGGTTCCTAGCTCTAATCACAACCACAGGCACAAAGGTTAGGGTTTATGGCACTTATTTTTTTGAAGGACACAGTTCAGTCTAGAACAAGTTCCCCCACTTACAAAGCCCTTCCCTTCCCCCCCAAATAAGGTCTCTTTCACAGGTTCCAGTATGTGGACATAGCTTTTGAAGAACTCAGTTCCACCACTACAACGTACCATAATATTTGGTGTTCATAAAGTGGCCATTTTTTTATCTTGCTGCCATCATGTTGATTCAGACTCACAGTAAAGGAGTAAGGAAGTCCAAAGAAGAATTGATGCCTTTAAATTGTGGGGTTGGCGAGGAATATAGGGTATCTAATGGGCTTCTAAACAAACAAACAAACAAATCTGTCCTAGAAGTGAAGTGAGGATGCTCCTTAAGAGGCAAGGGGGTACAGAGCCTCTCATGTGCTTTGGGCGAGTTGGCCGAGGGGGCCTGACCTTGGAAGCAGACAGCATGCTGGGAAAGGGGGAGGGTCAGAGAAGGAAAGGAAGACTGTCAACGAGATGGATTGGCACCGTGACTGGAAGGATGGGCACAGAGGAGAGTGTGAAGATGGCACAGGATCAGGCAGGGTGTTGATCTGTTGTTGTACATCGAGTGACTCTAGATCAGAACTGAGTGGACAAGAATTTCAAGTGTGTAGCAGGCCTAGTGTATGTCCCACTTTGATCCTGTATCCTGCTCCCCAAGTGGAGAACTGAGGCCCAGAAGACAGAGAAACTTAACCCTGGATCTTGCAGGGTGGTCAGCAGTCCATGGATTCTGCTCTGAAATCCTGATGCCACGGCCTTCATTAAGCTGGCTAGGGGCCAGGACCTGCACAGGGCGGGGTATCCACAGGTTCTCGATCAGTCCTTTTGGAAATCTACCTCTAAATTGGCTCATTCTTACCCATAATAAATTATGGGTGAGTTTTTAGAGATAAGTTGATTCTGGAAATAGGCTGTGACAACTCACAGTTACAAGGAGCTGGCTACTGGACGTCACAGCTTCCTGGATCTCAACACAAGAGGGTCTCACCTTCTGCAAGATGGTGTGGGAGAAAATAAGCAGGAGAGGGGGCAGCCACATGCAGGCCTTTGCTGGTAAGAATCTGGGCGGAATCATGGCAAAGCCACAGCCAAGGAGCAGAACCTGAGCCATTGCTTGTAAAATCCTAGCACACAGGACTTCTGTGCTCTTGCTGAACTGTGTGCTCATCTGAATCTGTGTTCATCCTCAGCAGCTTTTTTTCACCTATTAATTTATTCAACAAACATTTGTTAACCAGCTGCTGAACTCTGTGTTACCTGGTCCTGCACCATCGTTTACATCCTTGCTGTGAGAGTCCGTCCCATTGAGGGTCTCCCTTTCTGCTGACCCTCTCCTTCAGCAACCACGATGGCCTTGGCAGGGACTAGTCCCGCCTGGAAACGTGTCTGAAGTAAGGGAGGTGAAGCCTCACCCTCCTCATTTCTCAGGAGCATTCTAGCAGGACTTCTGCGGGGACAGAGGTGCTCACTCTTCAGGCAATCTGTGGGATTCTTCATATTCTTTGCCAGCCCCATGAGTCGCCATTCCAACTATATTGTTCATATGTTGTTAGTTGCAGTTGAATTGGTTGCAACTCATAGCAACCCTGAGAACCACGGAACCAGATGTTCCCTGGTCCCGGGCCATCTTCACAATCACTGCTGTGTTCTGCGTCCATTGTTTTGTGTGTACACACACACACACACATACACATATACACTCACTCTTTTATTTTTTTAAAGTACACCTGAAAGGTAACATTTGTCCATTTACTTTCTTTTTTTTGGTGAGAAAAATTTGTATTTAGAATTAGCCAGCTGTGAGTGAAGTATCTCAGTCACAAAAGGACAAATACTGCATGGTGCCACTGTTGTAAAGCAGGGCTGACCTTGGGGTTGGGAGGAGACTGAGAAGGATGGGTTCAATAATGTATACTGCATTGAAACAGATGAGGGAGAAAACTGTTTAAAAGGGAAAATTATTAGGTATTTTTGTCATGACAGGAGTCCAGAGCAAAGGCTGTATGATGGGGTGGACCTGGGGGGAGGGATTGTAAAACAATGAAAAAATTTTTCTTTTACTTTTCCAGGAGGGTGGTGTACTGGATGGGAGGGTTGGGAGGGGAGAAAAGTGCAACAATGAATGAATGGAAATCCAAAGTCTCTGTAAATTTTCATTGACATTAATAATAAATATAAAAAAATTAATATTTTAAAAAAAGACAAAAAAAGAATTAGCTAGCTGGACTCAGTTTAGATGATCCCAATTTTGTTGGTAACACCCAAAGCATCATAGTCAGGAGCAAGTCAAACATAAGCCTTCTTTCTCTCCATCAGGCCTAATCAAAGTATTGACCTTGGCCACATCAATGTCATAGAGCTTCTTTACAGCTTGTTTGATCTGGTGCTTGTTGACCTTGACATCCACAATGAACACAAGTGTGTTGTTATCTTCTATCTTCTATCTTCTTCCTGACTGACTCAGTGGTCAGGGGAACTTGATGATGGCAGAGTGGTCAAGCTTGTTTCTCCTGGGGGTGCTCTTCCAGGGGTATTTGGGCCGCCTTTGAAGTCTCAGGGTCTTAGGCCACCAGAAGGTGGGTGACATGTGGATCTTCTTTTTTTTGTGGCTGTGGATGCCCTTCAGGATGCCTTCTTGGCCTTTAATGCCTTTGCTTTGGTTTCAGTTTTGGGAGGGGCAGGGGCTTCCTTCTTCGCTTTTGGTGCCATCTTTGTAGAAAAAAAGCGTCTGTTTACTTTTTCTAAATAAAAAGGATAGTGTTACTCTCACCTGTGTTTGGCATTGGGGATACTATTGCTTTGTTATTGTTGTTAAGTGCCGTCAAGACCAGTATGACTCATAGTGACCCTATGAACAAAAGGTCTGAACCCTCCTGCGCCATCCTCACACTTCCTGACACACAAGAGCCCGTTGCAGCAGTCACTGTATCAATCCACCTGATTGAGGCTCTTCCTCTCCTTTGCTGACCCTCCATCCTTCCTATCATCATGTTCTTCTCCAAGGAATAGCCCCTCCTAGCAATAGGCCCAAAGGATGTGAAGTGAAGCCTCATCATTCTTGCCTCCAAAGAGCACTGCAGCTGCACCCTCTCCAAGACATATTTGTTGGTTCTTTTGGCCCGTCCATGGGATGTTCAGTGCACTTCTCCAACACCACAGCTCAAAGACATCAATTCTTCTTACATCCTTATTCATTGTCTAGCTCTTAGATGCATAGCAAGAGATCAGAAAGACTATGGCCTGAATCAGACACATCTTAGCCCTCAAACTGACATTGTTACTCCAGTCCCTAACTGGAGACTATGGCTTAGGGTAGCCATTATCATTCTAGTTGAAACGTCAGGTCTTTCCCTGGGTCCAGAAAGGAGGTCCAACTTGAGTAGGAGAGCAGGCACCCAGCGGTGTTGGAGCCCATTGTTGCAGTCACTATGGAAATCCGTCTTGCTGAGGGTCAGTTCTCTTATTTCTGGCCTCCTTTCCAAGAATAACACCCTTTATCCTTCATCCTATAGAACAGATAAAGGGTGGACTTCCAAGGCCTTTGAATTATGGTAAAGAATATACATACATATACACACACACATAGATGTTGTTGATTACCTTCCAGTTGATCACAGTTCATATCGACCCTATGAACAAAAGGCTTGAAGCCCCTCTACAACTATCTACATTAGTCAAAGCTCATAGAGTTTCCAGAGGCATGTTTTTATGTTGTTTAGGAAGTGAATTTTACACACACACACACACACACGTGTGTAAATATATGCATATGTATGTGTGTATATGCATATATGTGTTTGTGTATGTGTGTACACACACACACACACAGATGGAGCCCTGGGGTGGTGCAAATGCTTAATGCACTCTGCTGTTAACTGAAAGGTTGGCTGTCTGAATTTATCCAGAGGCAGCTAGAAAGAGAGATGATCTACTTTTTTTTTTTCTTCTTCTGCACAAGGGAGAGATCTACCTTTGAAAAATAGCTCTAGAGACCACAGTTCTACTTTGATGTACCTGGAGTTGTCTGTCATGAGTTGGAACTGACCTGAGCACAACTGTTGATAAATATGTAAATGTTTATATGCCTTGATACGTACATATATATACACATACATATGTACACACATGTGTATACATATGTTGTTGTTATGCGTCGAGTCACTTGCAACTCATAGTGAACATATGTACAACAGCCCTAAATCCTGCTCTATCCTATGCCAACCTTATTATGTGTCTCTGACACACCTACCCCCATTACCCCAGACACTGAATCAATCCATCTCATTGAGGGTCTTACTCTCTCACGCTATCAATAATGTGACTCCTTTTGATTCTGCTACCCAGCAGTCCCAATACATCTTGCACTGTGTCTTGGTTGTACAGCCCCTCTTTGGAACAGTCCATCCATGTCCATGACACAGAGGACAGATATAATGTGACCTGAGCATCGCTAGACCCTCCTCTACCATCCCTTATTCCTTCATTGTTTTAAATCGCCATTGTTTTGCACTGGCCACACTGCTGCTCCTCTCAGTGATGGTAAAGGAAAGATGCTACAGTCATGCAAGGGTGACAGAGGAGAGCCTAGCCTTATGTCTCAGTGGCACTTGAAACCCTGGGCACTTGGCCACAAACTGAAAAGGAGAGGTGGGTATTGAAGGGGCCACGTTGCGCCTCAGCCTCCCTTCTCCCATCTGATCCCCTGTCTGAGTTTTGGATTTGTGATCAGGACTGGGAGAAGCACTTCCTGGATGCAAGCGCCAGCAAGCCGAGTGACTGGAACAGTGAGCTAGATGGGCCGATGCTCCAGAAGCCTCCTTACCAGGTACAGCCCGGGGTGGCCCTAGGATCCAGGATGGCCTTGGTTGCCCCCTTCCACCCAGATCGTGCCAGCCGCCACCCTTGGTGTGTTACAGGATGGCCTGAAAGCAGAGGGGATCGAGAAGGACGTGTGGCTCCATCAGAAGATGAAAAGCGCCAACTACCTGACTGAATACGACCTCTCGGAATTTGAGAACATTGGTGCTGTGGGACTGGAGCTTTGGCAGGTCACAGGGCTTTCTATTTGCTTTCATTAAAAGTTATGAACTTAGGCAAATTTTGGTGGC